TTAACTGAGATTAGCGTTTAACAGATTTAAATAAAATTAAAGAATAACCTAAGACTAATATGACTTAATATTACAGTTTTTTTTTAATCTTCTTTTTACATTGTTTTAACAGAATAATTGTTTGTGGTATCGTCTATTAATTTAAGTTTAAAAGGGGAAAAGCGCACCATATGTGAGACTTAGTTGTCTTAAAACCAAAAGCCATTAAAAACATAGAAAAGAAAACAAGGCTAATGGCTTGTATCAACCTTTTATTTTATTTTTAATTTCATTAAAGTGTTGTTTCATTTCCATTTTTTTATTGCTAAGTATTTAATCATCATTTCTAAGAATCAAAGTAATCATTCTAAACTCCCAAAACCAAAGTTAAATAGTTAGTTTTTTCTGGTATTGAGATGTTGTAATCTCTTAAATAAGAAGATACCTATCGCTCGTATCTCGTTTGAAAAATCGCTATAAAATCAGTTCTTCAGAATTAATTTAATAAACCACCAAAATAAACTTATTCTTCTCGATTTTCAACTAATATATTGAAGATAATAAAATTCATAATATGCTATTGTGTCAAACAGACAATTTCGAAATTTGCAAACGTTTTTTACGAAATTGGTTACTTATCCTTTCTGACACCTTGTTACAGTAACCAGTTTCAAAATCATTATCTTCTTTAGTAACAGTTTGTTTGTTTGTTTGTAGTTAAGCACAAAGCTACACAAACTACTATCTGCGCTCTGCTCACCACGGGTATCGAAACCCGGTTTCTAGAGTTGTAAGTCAGCAGACATTCCGCTGTGCCACTAGGAGGCCTTTAGTAACAGACATGAATTGAAAAGTGTTTCGAAACTAAGTTAAAACAATTACTGAAAGAATTCTTCAGAACCAAAGAGAGCCGAAATAATTTCTACGATTTTCTTACAGAGCTGAATACGATATTCAAGGCTAGATATAATGAAAAACCTTTTTACTTAGTATTCTTCAGAATCATGAAAAAATAGCTAGAGTAAACTAATGACACAATAATCAAGTAAAAATTTGTAAAACTATGAATATTGGTTTACTGTTGTCTTCTTTAACATGACATTAAGAAAGAAAAAAAGACAAATTTCATACATTATCTCCAGCCATCAGCAGCGGTGCGATAATTTGGAGATCTCCTCCGTGTATCGTTTCATTATCTTATCTTTTTCTCCTATAAAATCTGAGTATCTCAAACGCTGTTGGACATACAAAAGATTAGTAAAGAACACTGATTGCTTGTTATTAAGGTCACTCTAAGTCCTAGGATTTTTTTTTTACTTTTCATCAAGGGAAGAAATTGAAACCAAGGCAGAAAAGATTGAAAGTGCCGAATGAAGCATTTTTTCGATTATATTTTGAAAAAAATTACTAATATTATATTTCTTTAAATTGTTGTTTTTTATTATTTTATGCTCTTATTTCTATTTATTTCAACAGTTTTTCCTTAATACCTTATTTTAGAATTACGAGTTCTGAGATTTGCATTTCCTTATGTCTATAGTTCCTGGAGTTTCAAACACCTGAAGTAAGTCGATTAATCTTTTCATATTCTAAAAAAAGAGTTTATGTCAAGCTAATTTTTTCACGTAAATTAGCAAACTCATCTTGTAAATCAGTTACAAACATTAACTTATGTCCAACTTTACAAAAGCTTCACTAAGATATTTTTAATATTATTTTTATTGTTACACATATTCAGAACTAGAAAATATTTCACTGATAAACGGATTTTTTTTTTAATTTTTGGAAATTCCAGAGAAATAGCACAAGTTTTGCCGTTTATTGACAGCCAGAGCCACGTATTACGAACCGATTTGAAACGACCTACGATTCTTGAAAGTGGCGTTTCTGTTTCTGTAACTATAATTTGCTTGTTCGCGTGTTAATTTCTAACGACTTTAGATCAGTTAAGACTGTGCTCTAGTTCACAAGTAACAGTTGACAAAAACACTGGAATTTCAACCATAAAGCGATTTCACACACTGGTTTGTAGTCAGCATTTTACATGTATTACTCTAAATTGAAAGTTAACTTATTATACAGGGTGTCCAAACATTTTTCTTGCCATAGAGATCAGCAGTTTTGCTTTATGTACAGTTAAGGGTGTGAATAAACCAGAACGAAAAACGTTATTAAGTGATAAAGAAAACTGTAGGTAAAAAAAAAGTTTCCCGGATATATCATGCTTCACGTTACTTAATTATGGCACGTGGCTTATGGGCAGGGATAGATGCATGCGGAAACTCTGTACAATTCACAGATTATCGCATTTTTACCTGGTGACAAAAAAAAATGTTTTTTGCAGTGTGTGAGGTGATATCTACTGTGTTCTATATCTAAACTGAATATGAGTTTTTGGTGAGACTTGTGAGCTCTCTGAATATCAGAAGTGAAGTATTATTTATCAAGTCGATGCGCAAGTAATTTGTGACAGTTAACAGGAATGATAGATTTAAACAAGAAGCAGTGAGATCTCACTTATAATGTTCTAAAGATAAACATATATCAGTGATGATTACTGCAAAAGATCGTTCAAAGTGCCTAAAGAGTATTATTATTACGTTAAGCTGGGAATGTTATTTTGTAAATGTCTCGTCCTTCGGTGGATTACGTATGTCGTCAGTTAGCAGTCGAGCAAGTTAAAACACAATGGACGAAGAAGAAGGTATAAAGAAACGGAAGTATCCACAACTAATAAACCAACTGACATAGTTAAAAAAACGGGCAGTCTTTGTCGAAAAACATTTCAAGAAAATCACCAACCTTCTCACGTCATTAAAACATAATCTAACTCCACATTGTGGATGAATCTACAACCAACTAGAACATGTGATTATTAAAATGATCACTGTTCAGAAGGAAGTGTTTTTTGGATCTATTATCAACTAAAATAAGTCTCAAGATTTTGATTTGTGGGACTTTATTTCACGGCGTTGCCAATGGAGACAATAAAAAAGTAATCTTCACTCATGGAAAAGAATCCCGCGCGAAGTTCTTCAAAACTTTTGCCAACGCTACCTACCAAAGAGAATGTGCAAGAAGAAGGCATATTTGGCTCATCAACGGTCCAGCGGTGGAGTGGTATAAATATGTCTCTTCTGATGTTAAAGTTTTACCAGACTGATTGAGTTGAGCGATTGGTGGACCACATATGTCATATCTGACTGTCCAGTGTGGACGCTGAGAGTTTTTTTTCCATATACAAAGATTCACTGACGGACAAACGCATAAACGTAACCAAAGCCAGTGTATAAAACTTAATGGTGTGAAATAATTTCTGAAAGTTATAATAGATATATTTTTGTTGCCTAAGAATAAAAAGTTACTCTTTTTAGACGTTGAGTCTCAAGCCGTACTGCAGGATCCAGATTACATATGCTAATAGTTTAAATTGCTTCTGTTTCAAATGAATTGACTTTTCCGTAGATATCTGCAGAAAATGCAAACCCTTTCCGCAGATATCTGAAGAAAATCTCAAAATTCTGCAGTTCCGTCTATCTCTGCTCATGGATGTACCTCGTGCACGTTTTTGGCAGAGCTAGTGTCAAGAAAACATTGTTGAGTGTAGCGATGTGACTCTCTACGTACAAGATTCTACAGACATAACGGATGAAGGCGGAATCTACGTAGACAAGTTCCATAGAATTTTCTTGTCTTATATAATCTACTTTGTCCCACAAATATCCTGATTATACCTGAAATTAATATTATTTTTGAACTAATTAAAAACGTATCTAGAACCTATTTGTATGTGTATAAATATGTACAGCGAATTACTCTGTTCTCTTCACAAATACCGGTTTATATAAATAAATCCATACCCATAAAACAGTCTTCTAACACAACAATACGTCAATCTTGGTTAATTTTTTTCTGGTATAAGCGTCCCTCCTGCCCCTAATACACTTGTGACCTAAGGTGCATTACTTGAAAAAGTCAATGTTAAAAATTATTACTATATAAGGTCCAATTTTCCTGATCAGCATCCAGCTTTCTTTAACACAAAATCAATGTCCAGTTTCTTTAGCACACAATGAACATTCAACTTTCCTGGAATAATGTAAATATTTAGCTTCCCTAACACAAAATCTATTTGTTCTATTTTTCCAATACAGAGCCAACGTTCAGCTTCCCTAGAACTCAAACAACGCTCAGCTTCCTTAACACAGGATCAACGTTTAGTAACAATGTTCAGTTCCTCCAACACAGTATTAAAGTACAGCTACTCTAAGCTAAGGTCCATTATAGTAACGCTATCAATACATCGATGTTCTTCCAACACAAGATTCATATACATTAATGTTATTTGTTTGTCGTTTTCTTTAACACTGAAACCCTTGTACAGTAACGCTGCTCGCGCACCAACGATTTCTCTAACACAAAAGCTGCTGGTCGTAAGTCGACTTTTCTGTAACACCAGGTCCATTTTCAATACGCTGCTCGTACGTTGACGTTCTTTGGCACAAGATCCATGAACAGTAACACTACTTAAACACCAATCTTTAAAACTAGATCCATGTTCAATAACACTACTCATACGTCGACTTTCTCTGACACAAGTTCCATCTACTGTAATACTATTTATACATCAACCTTTAAAACGACATCCATACACAATAACGCTACTCGTACGTCAACATGTCTTTAAAACCGACGTTTTTATAACAGAAGATCCATTGTACAGTAACACTACTTGTATTTTGACGTTTCTTTAACACAAAATCCACGTGTAATGATACTTACTACTCATACGCCAAAGTTTACTAATGGTACTTTAAAATACATTGAAGATGAGAGCATTTCCAAAATGTAAACTGGTTCGATATTCAGTGGCTTTCTTCTTATCGTATAAGTTGAAATCTACGTGTTCGATCTTTGGTCTGGCGCATATTAACATGATATTTGAAAAATGTTTCTATCTCAGTTCATTCCAGTAACAGGTTGCCATAATTGCTTTGGACCTTAAGCTGTCACATTTTTGTTCAGTGAACAAACCCATTTGCCAACTGATATTGTTGAGCGTCTACTATGACACTCGTATAGCCAGCCTGTTGAAGTGTCGAGCTTCTCTGGAAATCACTGTCGGGACAAGTCAGCGTAGGTTGAAAACTATTTAATTTATATAGAGCTTTATCTGCAGTGCTATAGTCGTGGCTTAGCGGACCAGTTCGATCACAAGTTTCAAGGGTTGTGTACTTATCATTTTCCAGGTCCATCATAGTGGTATACGCTGGAGTTGGGAATCTCTGATTAGTAAAATAGGGGGCGCCACTATAGGCATCTATGTGAATGTCATTGCTCTGGAAGAGCTGTCTTTCGTCGCAAGACGACTTGATTGAGTGACCCGGAAACACACTACGGGTGTCACCTGGTTGACTAGCAAAGGAAATGTTCTGGGTGGAGAATTCATTAGAAGGGGAACACAACATTATTACTGATTTGTAGGTTTTCAACGAGCCGTCAGAGGGAGTTAGAGATAAGGCACTGTCGGAGTTCACCTGTTCAGCGGTGTCCTCTCGTTGTCCTGGTCCTGGATTAGGGGTTGAAGATGTTGACTTACCAGCAGGCGAGGAAGATCCGACAACACTTTCTGCCCGACTGTGACACGGACTTTGATGAGCTGTAAGGCTGTGGAAGCTGTCTATATCTGGGTCCGAAAGTGTGCAGTCTGAGTGATTACTGTATGAACCAGGATGATATATATTAAAGTGAGACTGATGATTTTGGACGACGTCACTCCTCAGATAGGCCAACTGCTCTCTAGGTGGCACCACCGTAAACACTTCTGGCATGGGACCTGGAGGACACGGGAGAGTTGCTTGCGTGGAAGAAGCGTTTACAACAGACTGTGGAAGGAGTTTTATTTCTACTTCTGGAACTGGACCAACTAGCTGGGAACACGTTGAGTAACCCGGAAAGTTAGCCATGTCAGTTCGGGTGACATAGCGCTCTTCCTGTTCTTGGAAAGCCAATGCGTCCTCGGCTGAGGAGAACCGCTGCTGATTGTAGCCCAGAAAGTTTGCATCATGATAAACTGTTTGCCTAGTATTTGCTTGGCAGTTCCTGTCATCTGGAAAATTACTAACTGTATAATGACAGCCCGCCAAGGGTACACCAGTTTGGTCAAAAGCCATCCCTGGGTCTCCACTATATAGATGAGTATCCGCTGGGGGATACGGAGATCGACGGTTCTTGTTTCTAGTACTTCGAAGTTTTCCTGTCTGCGTTGGCTTTGCAGAAAGTGCCCCGTTCTCACTATGACAGGTGGCGCTTCTATGGGAAATTTGCTCTAATTGAAGCTGCAGATCTTTGGCTTCAAGATCACTGTAAAAAACAAATGTTTATCTTAAGTATCAGATATTTACAGACACAATAATTCCACTTGCTTTAACGACCAATTTCTAATTTGCTTTGAAATAAGTAGACGTTCATATTCCTAATCAACTTACATAAATGGTTTTATAAAAAGAAGAACCTATCATTAGTTAAATCACGATATGCGGTACAAAAAGAACTGTATTGTAAGGCCTCCTGAAAAGTTTACATTTGCATTAGTTTATTGTAAACGATTTTATCGGCTTCCAAACAACTCCTAAATAATTGATTACATAGTAATACTGATAAAAATGATGTAACGGAATTTCTCGGTCTTTAATAGTCTTGATATGAAATCATATATTTATATACCTTAGAACCCTGGACACGGATATACTGGCCATGGGCCACTATCGGCATTCAAAATCCTCATTCCTAGCCTACAACACCCTTTTTTATCCCTTAAGGGGAATACTCATTCAATCATTCGAAAGCGCTCGAGATTTTGATCTTTTGAATTTTTTTTTCGATGGTCCTTTGTACTAATTCTTTCATCGTGGCCTTTATTTTTAAGTAGTGTTGCATTAAACAAGTCCAGTTTCGTCACGACTTGCAAGTGAGAATGAAGTTGTGCACGTGAGAGACAGGGAGGGGCAATTTTCCTTAGCCACAAAAAACAAAAAAAAACTGCTCACCCATGTCACCAATACCCCTACCACTCTGGCTTATGGCTATTCGTCTATTGCAAGTAAGAAACCCTCGGTCAAAAAAAAAAAGAAGATTGGGACTTGTGCCTGAAATATAGTTGATTCAATCAATCTAATGCAAAGATATCAGTTATCTAGATATAACTGGCTTGAATAATACTGTCACGGTGTTGAGCTATTTGGATTAAAACGTGATTGACTTGAATACTACGTCAGAACATTTGATGTTATGTATTTTAGGTTCTTATGGACAATGACAACATATAACATTAAGCTACAGGTAAGGTAATTTTAATCAAACTACAAGTCTTTGATACTTTTCAACACAGTGAAAACATGACATCACAACACGTGGTTTAACTAATTCCCTTTAGTTCTTCTGAACTTTAACATAATTAAACTAGCAAGCAACCTGAGATTCTTGAGGAGTGTGACGACATGAACCCAACACATGCAGTTACTTACCCTAGGTTCTTGTGAGTAATGACATGATGTTATAGCATTTAACTACTTACCTTAGGACGTAGTTGACACTGACAATACAATGGGGGCGCGACGATCTGCTATTGTGAACAATTGTAGCATAGCTCTGCATCCACACCCAGCCACCATCTTTTGTAAGAAATCTATAATACTTAGTTGTCACTTGACCTTTCAGGAGAACTGAAAGAAGAAGAAACAGCATAGCTAAAAAAAAGTAACAATTCATAGTTTTTAACATTTTGTTTATATTTACACTGCTCGTTTCTATTATATTTATCCCAAATTCAGCCAAGTAAAATTTATATGTTTATTTCATTGACATTTCAGACATTGCAGACCTGTAGATTTTAATTTATAACGGACTGCCCCTGTCTTGTTTCTTGTGAAACGTCGTTCCGCTCAACAAACAAGATTGAACAGTTCATTAGAAAACCAACCCTTTTAATAGTGTAATCGCTTTGACTGTCGTCAACCCACCTCCTGCCTATTAATCCATTGGGGCAGCATGGCCCACTGGCTAGCGCTTTGTACTCGAAGTCGGGAAGGCTGCGAATTGAAAGCTTGCTCGCAACTTGCTGTTGTGTCCTTGAGAAAGACACTTAACCCTAACTATTTCAGTCAACCCAGCTGTAAAAAGTGTCATCCCTAAACTAATATTATCCAGTAAAAGTAATCGTCACTTCTCAGCCTATTTTCAACAAAATACTATCACTCCTCAATTTATACTTAATCCAACAAAAACAGTGCCTTCATAACTAACGCTATCTAATAAAATTATTGTCACTTCTCAACTAATGTTCTCAATCAACGTTTTTTACTCTTCAGCTTATGTTATTCAATAAAGAGATTATCACTCCTCAACTTATGTTTTCCAAAATATTACCACTATTCAAGCTTTCTTCATACAACAAAAACATTTTCATTTCTCCAACCAAAGTTATCCAATAAAACACTACCACTCCTTATCTTGTTTTATCCAATAAAAACACTGTCACTCCTCAACTCATACAACATCAAAAAAATACTGTGTCATTACAACTTATGTTATTCAACAAAATTATTGTCACTCCTCAGCCCTTTATCCAATGAAAAAACTGCCACTCATTAATCTAACACTCCTCAAATTTTACGTCATCCAGCAAAAACAGTGTTATTCTTTAAACAACGTTACTGTCACTCTTAAAGTTGTTGACTGGGCGTTGGAGAGTAAAAAATAAATAAAAATGAAAGCTAAGCTTCCGGAATTTTTTGTTTTGATTTACGCCGCAACTGATATTTTTCTTAAATTCTTACAAATGTTCTAAGTAATTTCGAGTTCCATAGAGAATAAAATTGTCAACTTGCAGCAATTTTCTTAGATAGCGCAATTCTATACTAAATTAGGCTTACGTTTGTTCGCCCTGTTGCTATAGTGTCGAGCAGCGATTAAAAGTCTTAATCTCCACGTCTTTATATTTAAAGCACAATCTCTCCTTGCTTACATCATGAACTGGGTGATAATAAAGATTAATTAAAGTAAAATAAGTTAATTAATAAGGAACTTAATAACATATATATTTGTATATAAATAAATAGTAACAGGTTCTGCCGACAGGTTGCCTCCTTATGGTCAGTGTTTCAAAACTAGGAAGAGTGAAATTGCTAACTGAACTGGACATTGACAGAAGTACTGCGATGGGCCTTTATAACTGTAGGAAGCAGAACATCTGCTTTCCATAACGCTAAAAATCGGGTTTCGAGACCCGTGGTGAGAAGATCACAGCTAGCCCATTATGTAGTTTTGTGCTTAATAACAAACAAACACTCCCGAACTTATATTATCCAAAAAAAAAACATCGTCTCTCTTCAGCCTGTGTTATCCATTGAACTTATTGTCACTTGTGGACTTATATGTAATCCAACAAAATCATTGCAATTCCTTAACAGATTTCACCTAGTAAAACCATTATTACTCCTCAGATAGGATGAGGATATTAATCTATGAGTATAATGACAATATCGCATGTTGAGACAGTACGACTCATTGATATAAAATATGTGAAATAAAAACATTAACTTATGAGTATGGTGAGAAAACCACATGACCTTGTGGTAATCTGTTTGATTATTATCTAATAGGTTTCTTGTTGCAAAGCTACACAATGGGCTACTTGTGTAAAGTCATCCCTAATTTTGAACTGATAGACTAAAGGAAGGGCAGCCAGCAACCAACAGCTGTTTGGCTACTATTGTCGGACCGAATAACGATATTTGACTGTCACAATTTCCACGGCCCCAAAATACAGATCGGATTCTTTAAAACAACGGGCCGTGAACCCCGGATTTACAGTTGAAGAACTCTAACCCCTAGGTTAATCACGGCTCAAAGAGAAGATATAAAATACACGAGATGAAGCTATTAACTTACGAGTATGGTGAGAATACCGCATGTTGAGACAGTCTGACCCGTGTATATAGTGATACAAGGTTTTCTCTATCAAATCTTGTGGTTCGTAGCCTGTAAGGTGGGCCACTCTACAAATGAGAGAGAAGAAAAAAAAACATTTCTTGAATAAATGATTTTCCGACACCAAACTAGTTATCACAAGGAAAACTACACTTAACTTAGTTTAGACTAACACGTAAAGCAGCATCAGATTCCTTTAGCCCATTCGTCCGAAATTAACCCGAACAGCTTACAGGCGAGAAAGTTTGTGCACATTTACGAAGAACTAAGTATTGTAATGTGGTTCTACCAAACTGATTTTTTTGTGAAGACCGATTATCTAGGGCTGGACTTGAATAATTTGTTAGAAGAATGAGAGAATGTATTCAAAAATTATAAAATTTACCCTAAAAATTTCAATAATGTTGAAACTATTAAAGGTTTTTATTTATTTCTAAGTACCGATATATGAAAATGGGGTTGTTGCTGAAGAAAAAAACAAACAGTTGTTGAATTTAATAAGAGATAAAGTGCCTGATACTAAAAAGAAAGCGCCCAGTATTTAGAAAGACGAGCTTAAAGTTGAAATTATTTGTGAACAAGAACATAACAATAATACAAAAGATGAAGTACCTCGCATCCAGGAAGATGAGCTTAAGGTCGAGGCTAGCTCTGAACATGAACATATTGCTGTACATCTTGATTTCGGTAATTGCACTAGGCGGTAGAGAATGACCGACGGCAACCAATCCCATGTTCTGATAACAACCGTCGTAGGGCGCCACATCCATAGAATAATGTTTGACTTTTAGGTAACCGCTACAATGGATTACCTAGTTGAATAGAAACGTGGATTTAATTTCAATACCCAAACAACTTATTGATATATTTGTATGTTCACATGTACACACATAAAGAAGTGTAGTTCTACGTATGTATAAAGTAAATTCTAAAGAAAAAACACACGATACTGATGTTAGAAAGAAAAGTTAAATATCAAAAATAAACTTTTCTGTGATATTACATCATAGCAAGACCGATTACAATTTTTAATCATAATAACTGTTAACTGTTAATGTAAATTTATTCATCGCTACTATTCTACCAGTAAACGATGCCAGTAGAAGTTCCTTAATAAAACAGCAGCAGCATTACTACCACCAAATGTTCCTCAATAAAACAGCAGCAATATTTCTACCAACATATATTCCTCAATAAAACAGCAGCAGTATTGCTACCACCAAATGTTCCTCAATAAAACAGCAGCATTATTTCTACCAACAGATATTCCTCAATAAAACAGAAGGAATGCTACCAACAGATGTTCCTTAATAAAACACCCGCAGTACTGCTACTGACAGATGTTCTTCAATAAAAAGTAACAATACTGCTACTAACAGGTGTTCTTCAATAAAAAGTAACAATACTGCTGCTAACAGATGTTCCTCAATAAAACAGTAACATTACTACTACCAACAGTCGTCCCTCGATAAAAAGTAACAATATTGCTACTAACAGATGTTCCTCAATAAAACAGCAGCGGTATTGCTACCAACAAACGTTCTTTAATAAAATAGCAGCAATACTGCTACCAAAAGTTGCCCCTCAATAAAACAACATTAATACTGCCATTAGCAGACGTTCCTTCATAAATAGATTAAATCAAACTTTTTCACGTTTTTTTTTGTTTTTACCTCCAGGAAATATGTGAATTATAAATATACATAACATTAACATGGCACTGAAGAAACTCTCTCAAGACAATTGACGTTGTCGAAATAATTTCACTAAATAATATCTTAAACATTTATTCTCTTTATTACGGTTGTACAAAAAAACAAACAAACCTTGTAACCACCAGAGGTCAAACCAGCATTGCGCTTGGCCAGTACACATTTCATCCGAATAAAAAATGACCTGTCCACTTCGAAATCTGATAAGAAAATGATTCAGGTGAACTTTCAAGGGAACATTGTCACAATGTATTTGATGTTAAATCACTTTATGCATTCTATAGTGTTATAGAAAGCTTTATTTGAATCATTTAACGCATATTACATAATATTACAAATACCAGAGAGTAAATAAATCCCCACTTACACCTTATATGAAAAATATTTAAAAAATCACCTATATCCTTAGACTTTTTTCTATTGATATAATGAAATGTTTATGAGTGATAACCACAGCCAGAAAAGCTTGTAACAACAAGCTGAAAGGTGCGAAACCATGTTTTATTGTTGTTGTTTTAATTACGGTTTGTTTATCTTTTGATATTCCAAAGTTACAAACTTATAGACGGTTTACTTGCTTCACAAATAAAACAATCAAATGTACTGTACGAGTTAAGTCAATGTACTTTTAATAGAATTAGGTTAGTAAGAAGAGTGGTACAGACCACCTTGAGACACGTGGGGCTGAGGCAGCGGAGGATGTAAGGTTAAAATAGCTGTCATTTCGTCGTGGTCAGCTGGATGAATATACTCGTATATGCTGTTGCCTGTCATCTCCACCTAGTGGTAGTTAAAAAAACATTGGTAAAGTTATAAAATCTTTCATTAGTCTAAAGTATAAATTTTATGCTCATTTGATCAGAGTATCAAACTTGAATGAAAATAAAAAAAAACATAAAAAGCAATATTGACTTTCTTGTTCAATACAGGAAATACTAATCTAGTAGCAATATTGACTTTCTTGTTCAGTACAAGAAACACTAATCTAGTAGCAATATTGACTTTCTTGTTCAGTACAAGAAACACTAATCTAGTAGCAATATTGACTTTTTTGTTCAGTATAGGAAACACTAATCCAGTAGCAATATTGATTTTCTCCTTCAGTACAGGAAACATTAATCTAGTAGCAATACCGATTTTCTTGTTCAGTACAGGAAATACTAATAATCTAATTGCAATATTGACTTTTTTGTTCGGTACAGGAATAACTAATCTAGTAGCAATATTGACTTCCTTAAATAATTTAAAACGACACTTGGATAAAACATCTATCTACAATGAAAAGAAACACAACGTTAAAATCATTACACAATAAATAGTAGTTGATATAAATTCGAAAATTATTGAGAGATTGCATCATAAACATATCAATAAATTAATAATATTAGCATGTACAAAATTAGAGGGAACATGTAAAGTAGATAACATGAGAGTTTGTTTGCCTTATGTTCAAGGCTTATCTACAAAAATATGTAATATAATGAAGAAATACATGGAATGTAGTGTAACATTTTTTCCGCGTTGTAAGTTAAATAGTCTCACGAGTACAAAAGACAGAATAGAAGAAATTGATAAATGTGGGATTTACAAAGTTCCTTGTATCAAATTGTAGTCGAATTTACATTGGCCAAACGTGTAGAAATTTAAAATTCAGGATTAAAGAACATAAAAACGCGGTAGAAAAATACAAAGTAAATGAATCGGTATTAGCAGAACATGTGGCGGAAACATTTCATGTTATAGACTGGAGTAACACTAAGTTGATAAAACAGGCAGAATTTATAACTGAATTAAATATCAGAGAAACTATCGAAACCGAAAAAAAACAAAGACATCGTATTGAACAAGTAATATGATCCAGGTCTAGAAATAAAAAAGGACTGGACAGATGTTTTGTAACTCTGGGTAGTCTAAGCATAGACGGCATTACAGGAATGTAAATAATTATGTTACTCCTGAAGATGGTGTCATAAGAAACCGAAACATATGTAGAATCTTTTTTAGGGCAAGTTGCTGTTTTCAACAACTATTTATTGTGTAACGATTTCAACGTTTTATTGCTTTTAATTGTAAATAGATAGACTTCCTTGTTCAGTACAGGAAACACTAATTTAGTCTTGATCTAGTATGGATTTTGTTTGTTTATTT